TATATATGAAGTTTTAATGTTTATCATCTCTTTAATCTTTCAGGACCAAACCGATTTTATTTTATTTATTTTTAATATATTTTTATTGATTTCAGAGAAAAAGAGGGGGAGAGAGATAGAAACATCAATGATGAGAGACAATCATTGATCAGCTGCCTCCTGGACTCCCCTACTGGGGATCGAACCTGCAACCTGGGAATGTGCCATAACCAGGCATCGAACCGTGACCTCCTGGTTCATAGATTGACAGTCACTGAACCACACCAGCTGGGCATGTTACCTTATATTTTAAAACATAGGCTCTAGACCTAGATTATTCTCTATAGAAAAAAAAAAAGTGGCTTCTTTCATTTACTTATTTCTTCAGAAGACCTTTAGAATAATTGGGTTAAATCTTCTAAAAATAATCTAATGGGGATCTTGATTCACTTTGCGTTAAAGATGTCATTTAAATGGAGTTAACCTCAGCACGGCATTCAGACTAGCTATCCAGGAAAACAGTTTTTCATGCAGTCAAGGTCTCTTAAAAATATATTTGGGCCGCCGAAACCGGTTTGGCTCAGTGGATAGAGCGTCGGCCTGCGGACTGAAAGGTCCCAGGTTCGATTCCGGTCAAAGGGCATGTACCTGAGTTGCGGGCACATCCCCAGTGGGAGATGTGCAGGAGGCAGCTGATCGATGTTTCTGACTCTCTCTCTCCCTTCCTCTCTGTAAAAAATCAATAAAATATATTAAAAAAAATATATATATATACATTTGGGCCTTAGAGGTATTGGATGACTCAGTTGTCACTGGCCCCTGACACGCTCTGCGGTTAAGTGTGCCAGTGATTAAGCTATTATCTCTTGGTTTCCAATCCATCCCCCTCTTTTTCTTTTTAAAATATATTCTATTGATTTTTTACAGAGAGGAAGGGAGAGAGAGAGTCAGAAACATCGATCAGCTGCCTCCTGCACGCCTTCCACTGGGGATGTGCCCGCAACCCAGGTACGTGCCCTTGTCCGGAATCGAACCTGGGACCCTTCAGTCCCCAGGCCGATGTCCACTGAACCAAACCGGTTAGGTCATCCCCCTCTTCTGGGCTTTGTGAATCTGAGGTTGGGACTCTTAAATCCACTTTCGCTTCGCCCACCGGCTGTGCTGCCCTTGGCCAGGAGGGGGCGCCAAAGAGACTCGACGCCCGGAGGACGTAAAGGGGACGCGCTCCTTCCTGTGGGCTCTCAGCTCATTTCCCGTCAGTTTCCGGTTCCCATCGGCATCACCCAGCAGGTTTTTCACCCTGGCTAAGGCGGTTCCTTCTGGCAACCGCTGGTAAGTCTAGTTTGCCACCTTCCCGAGCCTTGCACACCCTCCGCAACGGCAGCACTGTTTCGCCCGCAGCCTCCCGGGAGGGTCCCAGCG